TTCCTCCCCCTCGTCCTCTGCCTCTTCCTCGACCATATCCACGGCCGATGCTCGCTGTCCCAGCGCCATCCGCACTCGCCAACTCACGGCGGCGGAAATCCTCTTGAAGGATAGCTCGCTTCACGTCTTCAAGCGAGAGGCGGGGCAAGTCGCGATTAAGGTTGATGATGAGCGAGGACCATGACTCAGGGAGTAGGGCCAGCAACTTGGTCTTCTTTTGGAGCTCACTATAGTTCAAATCAGCTCCCTCAAGCCGCGTCAACAAGTCGAAGAATTTCTGCACCCCTTCTTCAACCGCTTTATCCTCTTCAATTCATAGTGTCAACATTTGCCGTTCCAACACCACAGCTACCGCCGCTGTTGCAGGAGCGTGTACACCCTTGAGAGCAGCCCATGCCTTTGGTCCCTTCTCGGGTTCACGCTGGAAAGGCTTGATGTGACGGATCTGGCTGCTCCCCAACGCTTGCCCTAGTAGGAGGTAGCCTTGTGCGCTCTTCCGCACCCACGGGCTCTTCTCCGGGTCATTCTCGGGGCGCTTCTCCGTTCCTTCCATCACCTCCAGCAGGTCATAGTGATCAAACACGTTCTCCATTCTGAAGGACCACTCAGCAAAGTTGTCACCGTTGAACTTGTCAAGGCCAAACACTCTAGGCTCGTCCCTAGATGGGCCAACACTTGGTTGCACGGGCGCCATGGCTGAGTCACGGGGTTGGCCTTGAGCTTGGGCTTCTCCACTGCCACCAGCACCTCTGCCACCCCTTTCCTCAGGTCCAGCAATTGTCGAAACTGCTCCAAGGGGCTCTGATACCACTTGTTATAGTCACAGTAGGCTCCAATGTGCCTAAAACGAAAGATAGAGTGCACAGCCGGATTTCTGCACAGCGGCTTCAAACGTTCATAGCGTTCTGGTCACAGCTTCAAATGAGTTGATTCAACTTGGATCTGGAGCGTCTTATTGTCACCTACAACAGGAAATTTAGATCGCACGATTTCACCAAGTATTGACGACACAACGTCAGTTTGAACGAACGGCACTATGGCAGCCACTATAGTCTTAGAACACAAGATAGGAAGAGATAGGAAGAGTTACGAGTTGGGAATGACTCCCAGCTCCTACAAACCCCAAGAGCCGAGGTACAGTGATGTGGAACAGTGCCACACTGTCCCCAACCACGAAGGGTCTCGAAACTACCCTTCACTAGGGCCTACACCAAGTGAAATGTTACACTACACAAAGCAATGTAACTATCTTCAATATCTTGAGGTGTACCCTTTTGGCGAGCATCGAAATCACTTGAGGCTTGACACCAAGGCTCGGGCTCTTCATCACAAACTCATCCTTGAGTTCTTGATGGGTCTGCTGCACACACCTGCGACACGCCGAACGTTCGACACAGGACAAAATAGAAATCGCGCACGACAAAATAGAAATTGCGCGCGAGACACAAACGACCGCGTAACACGCGTCTAGCGATAACTCGCTATTGACTCGACACACACACTCGATATCATGACTCGACATTCACACACAATTATAAGCATGAAATATATATTATCCCATGCCCTCATACCATTCCATATACACACACATGCACGCACACGGACAACAAGCCGAGTGCAAACCGTAGGGTTGCACCAACAGAGAACGGAATAATTTAAAGGAAATGGGAATACATATGGTATTTACTGTATTTGTACAAAGAGAATAATACGTCGGTCGGTAAGGTCAGTATGCACGCTTGTGTGTAGGTATAATGCGGAACTGGAATTCTGAAATCTCCCAAACTATGTGGATTGGAAAGGTTATAACCAAGCATTGTTGAATTAGAAGGCCTAATCTAGTGGACTGGCAAGAATATGGCACTAACTGCATCTCTACAAACATACGTATTGGGCTGGCCAGTTTGGTCGGTATGTGCGTCTGTAGTGCAGGTACCATGTACGACTGGAATGTCTATATCTGCCAAATAACATCGATCCGAAAGGTTAAAATATAGTAGGGAGGTGGGGAATTATTTAATCTAAATGAAATGGGAATACATATGGTATTTACTGTATTTGTACAGAGAGAATAATTCGTCGACCGGTAAGGTCAGTATGCACGCTTATGTGTAGGTACAAGGCGGAACTGGAACTCTGAAATCTCCCAAACTATGTGGATCGGAAAGGTTATAGCCTAGTGTTGTTGAAGTAGAAGCTCTAATCTAGTGGGCTGGCAAGAAGATGGCACTAACTGCATCTCTACAAACATACGTATTGCGCTGCTCAGTTTGGTCGGTATGCGCGCCTATAGTGCAGGTACCATGTACGACTGGAATGTCTATATATGCCAGATTACATAGATCGGATAGATTAAAACATGGTAGGGGGGTGGGTAAAGGTATAATTTTAAGGAAATTGGAATACATATAGTATTCGCTGTATTTGTACAGAGAGAATAATGAGTTGGTTGGTAAGGTCAGTATGCACGCTTGTGTGTAGGTCAAAGGCGGAACTGGATCAGAAAGGTTATAACCTAGTGTTGTTGATGTCAGAACATTATAGCTTATGCTGTTGTGTAGGCTATAGTGGGGTATCCCATAGGGGGTACAACCAATTAGGGTTTCATATTTGTACTCACTTCATTTCATAGTTCATTCATTCTTGTTCAAAACTTCTCATGGTATCGAGCAGGTTCCCCCTTGGGAACTGTGCTTAGGGCCCACCACATCAATTTTTTTTCTCCCTGCCCGAAGCGCGCTCAGCCCGAGTCGCGCTCCGGGCCCTCACTTCGTCGAGCCGCCCTAGCGGCCCTGCACTGCGGCCCCGCCACCCGTCTCCGCGGCCCCGCCGCCCTACCTCGTGGCCTCGCCGCCCCATTGCGCGGCCCCGCCGCCCTACCTAGCGGCCCCGCCGCCCCATCGCGGCCCCGCCGCCCCATCGCGCGGCCCCGCCGCCCTATCTAGCGGCCCCGCCGCCCTACCTAGCGGCCCCGCCGCCCCATCGCGCGGCCCCGCCGCCCCATCGCGCGGCCCCGCCGCCCCCTCGCGCGGCCCCGCCGCCCTTCCTCGCGGCCCCGCCACCCCATCGCGCGGCCCCGCCGCCCCATCGCGCGGCCCCGCCGCCCCATCGCGCGGCCCCGCCGCCCTACCTAGCGGCCCCGCCGCCCTTCCTCGCGGCCCCGCCACCTTACCTGCGGCCCTGCCCTTACCTGCGGCCCCGCCGCCCTCTGCTGCGGCCCCGCCACCTTACCTGCGGCCCCGCCACCTTACCTGCGGCCCCGCCACCTTACCTGCGGCCCCGCCACCCTATCTGCGGCCCCGCCACCCTACCCGCGGCCACGCCGCCCTTACCAGCGGCCCCGCCGCCCTTACCTGCGGCCCCGTGCCCTGCAGCAGCACAGCCGAGCCGCCCAGCAGCCGAGCCGCCGAGCCGCCCAGCAGCCGAGCCGCCCAGCAGCCGAGCCGCCGAGCCGCCCAGCAGCCGAGCTGCCCATCAGCCGAGCCGCCCGGCCGCCGGGCCGCCCAGCAGCTGAGCCGCCGAGCCGCCGCGCCGCCCTCCTTCAGGGCCGCCCGACCTGCCCAGTCTGGTGAGCACAGCGCCTTTTCACTGCACTGTCCTCACCCCACTGTTTGCGCTGCTAGTCGTCTAGGGTCATGGCTACCCCTAGTGTTCTCGCCTTTGACGCTGAGGGTAGGGCCATTGACTTTGAGGTCTGGGTAGATGACCTGCAGCTGTTCTTACAGTGCGATAGGGTAGACGGCCTCTCTCTCTTTGACCTCACCTCTGGCACCTCCACTGCCCCTGCTGCTGATGCTGACGCCACTGTTCGCTCCTAGTGGGCCACGCGCGACGCTGCTGCACGTCTTGCTGTGCGTCGCCACCTCCCTACCTCCGAGCGTGCGCACTTTAGTCAGTACAAGAGTGCTCAGACCTTGTACGACGCTGTAGTTGCGCGCTACTCCTCCCCTGCCACTGCTGCACTGAGCCGTCTCATGCTACCGTACCTCTTTCCTGATCTTACTGCCTTTCCCACAGTCACTGACCTCATTACGCACCTCCGCACTAGTGACACTCGCTACCGCGCTGCACTCCCTCCTGACTTCTGCGCCAAGAACCCCCCCCCCATGTACATCACTCTTTACTACATAGTCACTCGCCTTCCTGACTCCCTTCGCGTAGTCAGGGACCACTTTCTCTCTGTCTGTCCCACCACTCTCACTGTTGACCTCCTCGAGAAGTCCCTCCTAGCGGCCGAGAAGAGCATAGTCGCTGTAGGGGCCTCTCGTGGTGACCCGCGCACCCCCATCTTTGAGGGGTGTTCCCCCTCCCCCCTTCTGCCCTCTGTTGCCTCTGCTGCTGCGGCCGACCTCCTTGTTCTTGAGTCGGTCGGTGCGGCGTCTGCCCCTAGCGGGAGACGCCGCTCTGGCAAGGGCAAGGGGGGCAAGGGCGCTGGAGGAGCGAGCGGGGGCGGTGGAGGTGGAGGTGGCGGCAGTTGGGGGAGTGGGGGTGGCGGTGGGAGTGGAGGTGGGGGTGGAGGGGTCGGTGGCGGCAGTGGAGGTGGAGGTGGCGGCGTCGGTGGCGGTGGGAGCGGAGGTGGTGGAGGTGGCGGAGGTGGAGGCGGCGGCGGAGGCGGAGGCGGCGGCAGTAGCGGAGGCGTCGGAGGCGGCGGGAGTGGCGGTGGTGCTGGTCGCGGGTCTTCGCAGAGGAGTGGCTCCGGTGGTGGCTCGCGCCAGCAGCAGCAGCGTGGTCGTGACACCCTGTCCCCTCAGCAGCTTCGTGAGTGGTACACTGCGCGTCAGCGGGGTGGGGGTTTTGGTCCGTGCTCCTACGTTTTGCGCACTGGCGACCGTGCGGGTGAGCAGTGTGGGGGTCCCCACCCCACCCAGCGCTGCTTTGGCCGCCTGACGGACGCGTGGCGTCACCAGTTCCCGGAGGCCTCCGAGATCCCTCGCTGGGGCGAGCTGTCTAGGGCGGGTGTTGTCATCTATGATCTTGACTTTGATGCTATTCTCTCTGCCATGTATGCTGTGTCTATTAGTGATGAGGGTGACTGTTACCGGTGTTTCCCGCCCGATCCGGGCATTGAGACTGCTGCTCTAGGTCCTGGTGAGGCTGCTGCCCTAGGTGCTTGCGACGCTGCTGCTCTAGGTGCTCGTGTGTCTGCGTCCTCAGGTACTGGTGAGTCTGCGCTCTCAGGTACTGCGTCGGCTTCGGCCTCCCTCACCTTCACCCTTGACTCGGGGGCGTCTCGCTCCTTCTTTCGGGACCGCACCACACTCACACCGCTGAGTCGACCGGTTGCAGTGTCTCTGGCTGACCCCTCTGGGGGTCCTGTCCTGTCTCGCTTCTCCACAGTCCTCCCGTGTCCGGCGGCTCCCTCTGGCACCCTGTCTGGTCTCTACCTCCCCTCGTTCTCTACGAACCTGGTGAGTGGTGCTGACCTACTTGATGCGGGGGTCCACCAGTTCACTCCTGCACGTCAGAGAGTGACCCACTGTACAGAGGCTGGCACAGGCCGACACCTGGCTACGTTCACCCGTCAGCCGGGGTCGAGCCTGTACACTCTGACCACTGCGTCTCCTCCAGTTGCTGAGTCTGGTAGGGTAGTTACGTCGGGTCAGGTGTTTGCTGCGGCGTCCAGGTCTGGTCCTGAGTCTGCCCCCTGTTCGTATCGTCTCCTGTCTCACGAGACTCTCCTCTGGCACCACCGCCTTGGCCACCCCTCTCTGCTTCGGCTCAGAGGTATGGCCTCCCGTCTTCTTGTGTCCGGTCTCCCCCGGTCCCTCCCTCCCCTTCCTCAGGGCCCTGGCCCTGCCTGTGTCCCCTGTGTCGAGGGGCGCCTGCGTGCTGCCCCTCACTCCTCCCAGTTTCCTCCGACAGAGGCCCCGTTGCAGACACTTCACATGGACGTGTGGGGCCCAGCCCGCGTCCGTGGACAGGGTCACGAGCGCTACTTCCTGCTCGTTGTTGACGACTACTCGCGTTACACCATAGTCTTCCCCTTGCGCAGCAAGGGTGATGTCACTGAGGTGCTGATCGACTGGATCCGCGCAGCTCGTCTCCAGCTCAGGCAGAGCTTCGGCTCGGACTTTCCTGTTCTGCGTCTGCACTCGGACAGAGGCGGAGAGTTCTCCTCTGGCCTTCTGCGTGCCTACTGTCGTGCACGGGGTATCCGTCAGACCTTCACGCTTCCGGACTCACCGCAGCAAAATGGGATTGCTGAGCGCCGCATTGGCATGGTCATGGACGTCGCTCGTACGTCTATGATGCATGCGGCTGCCCCCCATTTTCTGTGGCCGTTTGCGGTTCGGTACGCGGCGCATCAGATCAACCTCCACCCCAGGGTCTCTAGGCCGGAGACCTCCCCAGCCCTGCTGTGGACGGGGAAGGTTGGCGATGCGTCGGCGTTCCGGGTCTGGGGATCTCGGGCGTTTGTCCGCGACCTGTCTGCGGACAAACTATCCCCTCGTGCTGCTCCTTGCGTCTTCCTGGGGTTCCCCCCTGACGCGCCTGGGTGGCAGTTTTACCACCCCACCTCTCGCCGTGTTCTGTCCTCCCAGGACGTCACGTTTGACGAGTCGGTCCCCTACTACCGCCTCTTCCCCTACCGCACTCCGTCCCTCCCCCCACCCCCACTCTTCCTGGTACCAGGTCCCCCCCAGGTAGACCCCCTCCCCCCTCAGGGTCCAGCCCCTTCAGGTGTGTCCCAGGTAGACGCGGTCGAGCCTGTCGAGGTCACTGGTGACTCTGGTGCTGCTGAGGGTGCTGAGGCTGGGGGTGCTGTACCTGGGGGTGCGGAGCCTAGGGGTGCTGGGCCTGGGGGTGCTACGTCTGGGGGTGCTGAGCCTGGGGGTGCTGAGCCTGGGGGTGCTGAGCCTGGGGGTGCTGAGCCTAGGGGTGCTACGTCTGGGGGTGCTGAGCCTAGGGGTGCTACGCCTGGGGGTGCTGAGCCTGGAGGTGCTTCGCCTGGAGGTTCTCCGAGTGCTTCGTCTCGCCGGGAGCCACTTTCTCCACAGGAGCTGCGTGAGTGGTTTGCCCGGCGCTGGAGGCGTGCTGCTGGTGCTGGAGGTCCTTCGGCTGCTGAGGGTGCTGCGGTCGCGGGTCCCAGAGGTGCTCGTCCTGGGTGCACTGGAGCTGGTGCTGCTGAGGGTGCTGGCGCTGAGACTACTGCTGGCAGTCCTACTGGGGGTGCTCCTGGTGCTGCTGGAGGTTCTGGAGCTACTGGTGGTGCTGCTGGAGCGGGTGCTCCTGCTGAGGGTTCTGGTGCTGTCCCGGCTGCTTCTAGCGTCGCCGCGCGGCCTCGACCGTACTTCGTGCCACTCCTGCAGCAGGTTCTTGGTCTTCCACCCTCTACTGGTCCTCCTCCTCCCTTAGAGTGTCCACAGCCTGTCTCGTCCCAGCTACAGTTGCAGCCTACCTCCCCTTTGCCTGCTCCTTCTCCCTACACTGGTCCTACTGGAGGTCTGGCTGAGCGTCGTGAGCCTGCGTCTCGCCCTGCGTCGCCTGTCCGTGCTGCTCGCACTAGTGGTCGCGGTTCGCGTCAGCGTCCTCCTCCTGTCCCTGGCACGCACCGGATGTCTCTGCGTCCGTCCACTGCTCCTCTGCGTGCCCCTTTGCCTTCTCCTCCTGAGTCCTCTCTTCCTGCTCTTGCCGACCCGGAGTCGGACTCTCTTCGTGCTGCCAGTCCTACTGTCACGCGTCTCCTTGCTACTGTTGTCACTGACCCTTCTTTCGAGTCTACTGCTGCGTCTGCTCTCGTTACTGAGCTCGTCGACTTTGCTGCTCGCTGTCGCTTAGACTACGCTGCTAGTCTTGTCGCTGAGTCTGAGTCTGTCTGTCCTCCGTCCGTCGGGGGTGAGTGTGCCCTTGGCACGGACGTCCTTGAGGACAGGCAGGAGGAGTTCCAGTGTCTGGCAGCTGCCTCACCTCATCTTGTGTCCGTACTGCTTACCCCTGAGGGAGACCCGGATGCACTTGACATCCCGACTCCGCGCTCTTACGCGGAGGCGATAGAGGGTCCCTACTCCTCTCAGTGGCAGGCAGCTATGGATGCAGAGATGGCTTCCTGGAAGTCCACAGGCACCTACGTTGACGCTGTCCCCCCTCCTGGGGCGAACATCGTCAGTGGCATGTGGATCTTCAGGGTGAAGCGGCCGCCGGGTTCTCCGCCTGTCTTCAAGGCGCGTTACGTGGCTCGTGGCTTCAGTCAGCGGCAGGGAGTTGACTACTTTCAGACCTTCTCCCCCACCCCGAAGATGACCACTCTTCGGGTACTGCTGCACGTTGCTGCTCACCGTGACTACGAGCTGCACTCTCTTGACTTCAGCACAGCTTTCTTGCAGGGCAGCCTGCACGAGGAGATCTGGCTGCGTCGCCCACCTGGCTTCACTGGGTCTTTCCCTTCTGGTACCCAGTGGAGTCTCCGGCGTCCAGTCTACGGTCTCCGCCAGGCGCCACGTGAGTGGCACGACACACTGAGGACTACACTTGCGGCTCTTGGGTTTGCTCCTTCTACTGCCGACCCGTCGCTGTTTCTACGCACCGACACCTCTCTGCCGCCGTTCTACATCCTCGTGTACGTCGACGACTTGGTCTTTGCCACAGCTGACACTGCTGGACTCGCCTACGTGAAGTCCGAGCTGCAGAAGAGACACACGTGCACAGACCTGGGTGAACTGCGCAGCTACCTTGGCTTGCAGATCACCCGGGACAGAGCACGCCGCACCATTACCCTGACTCAGTCACACATGGTGCAGCAGGTCCTTCAGCGCTTCGGCTTCACGTACTCCTCGCCTCAGGCCACTCCTCTGTCTACTCGCCACTCGCTCTCAGCTCTGCCTTCGGATGAGTCCGTAGAGTCGAGTGGCCCGTACCCAGAGCTTGTTGGCTGCCTCATGTACCTGATGACCTGCACACGACCTGACCTTGCATACCCTCTTAGCATTCTGGCTCGCTATGTTGCTCCTGGGAGACACAGACCAGAGCACATGGCTGCAGCGAAGAGGGTGTTGCGCTACTTGTGCAGTACGTCGGGCATGGGGCTAGTGCTTGGAGGGCGGAGTCCAGTGGTCCTCACTGGGCACGCGGACGCTTCTTGGGCTGACGACCAGGCTACGCAGCGGTCGTCACAGGGTTACACCTTCAGCCTCGGTTCCGGCTCTGTTTCGTGGCGGGCTACTCGCTCGTCTTCTGTTCTTGGCTCGAGTTGTGAGGCTGAGATCTACGCCGGGGCCATGGCTGCACAGGAGCTTCGCTGGCTCACCTACCTGCTGACCGACCTTGGAGAGCCGCCTCGTTCTCCTCCAGTCCTGTACGTAGACAACAAGGCCATGCTGGCCTTGTGTCGAGAGCAGCGACTGGAGCACAGAACAAAGCACATTGCTCTCCGCTACTTCCTTGCTCGTGAGCTACAGCAACGTGGTCAGTTGCGGCTTGCGTACGTGGCCTCTGAGGCCAACACTGCTGATGTCTTCACCAAGGCACTTCCTCCTTGTGATCATCAGCGCTTCTGCACTCAGCTGGGTCTTGTGCCCGTCTTGCCTCACTTGCTCTCCTCTTGACCTTGCCTGTACTCTCACATATATATATACCTGCTCTTGCTTGTCTAGCTTTATATATATGTGTGTACTCTTGCATGTGAACTGGCCGTGTGGCCTTGACCCTGTGCTCGGACTGTGTGGTAACTTTGTGATCCACCCTGAGCTTGCTTTGCTTTACTTTGCTTGACTGGTCTTGTGACCCCTTGTTCTCCCCCACTTTGCCTATGGGGGTGTGTCAGAACATTATAGCTTATGCTGTTGTGTAGGCTATAGTGGGGTATCCCATAGGGGGTACAACCAATTAGGGTTTCATATTTGTACTCACTTCATTTCATAGTTCATTCATTCTTGTTCAAAACTTCTCAGTTGAAGTCCAAGGCCTAATCTAGTGGACTGGCAAGAATATGGCACAAACTTCATCTCTACAAACATATGTAATGCGCTGGTCAGTTTGGTCGATATGCGCGCCTGTAGTGCAGGTATCATGTACGATATCTGCCAAATTACATAGATCTGATATGTTAAAACATAGTAGGGGGGTAGGGAATGATACAATTTAAATGAAATGGGAATACATATGGTATTTACTGTTTTTGTACAAAGAGAATAATACGTCGGCCAGTAAGGTCAGTATGCACGCTTGTGTGTAGGTACAAGGCGGAACTGTAACTCTGAAATCTCCCAAATTATGTGGATCGGAAAGGTTATAACCTAGTGTTGTTGAAGTAGAAGGCCTAATCTAGTGGATTGGCAAGAATATGGCACTAACTGCATCTCTACAAACATACGTATTGCGCTGGTCAGTTTGGTCGGTATGCGCGCCTGTAGTGCAGGTACCATGTACGACTGGAATGTCTATATCTGCCAAATTACAGAGATCCGATAGGTCAAAATATAGAAGGGGGGTGGGGAATGATATAATTTAAAAGAAATGGGAATACATATGGTATTCACTGTCTTTGTACAGAGAGAATAACGCGTCGGCCGGTAAGGTAAGTATGCACGCTTGTGTGTAGGTACAAGGCGGAACTGGAACTCTGAAATCTCCCAAACTATGTGGATCCGAAATGTTATAACCAAGTGTTGTTGAATTGAAGGCCTAATCTAGTGGACTGGCAAGAATATGGCACTAACTGCATCTCTACAAACATAAGTAATCCGTTGGTCAGTTTGGTCGGTATGCGCGCCTGTAGTGCATGTACCATGTACGACTGGATTGTCTATATCTGCCAAATTACATAGATCCAATAGGTTAAAACATGGTAGGGGGGTGGAGAATGGTAAGGAAATGGGAATACATATGGTATTTACTTTATCTGTACAGAGAGAATAATGCGTCTGCCGGTAAGGTCAGTATGCACGCTTGTGTGCAGGTATAAGGCGGAAGTGGATCTCCGAAATATCCCAAACTATATGGATTGGAATGGTTATAACCAAGTGTTGTTGAAGTCAAAGGCCTAATCTAGTGGACTGTCAAGAATATGGCACTAACTGCATCTCTACAAACATACGTATTGCGCTGGTCAGTTTGGTCGGTATGCGCGCCTGTAGTGCAGGTACCATGTATGATTGGAATATCTATATCTGCCAAATTACATAGATCCGATAGGTTAAAACATAGTAGGGGGGTGGGGAATGATATAATTTTAATGAAATGGGAATACATATGGTATTTACTGTTTTTGTACAAAGAGAATAATGCGTCGGCTAGTAAGGTTAGTATGCACGCTTGTGTGTAGGTACAAGGCGGAACTGGAACTCTGAAATCTCCCAAACTATGTGGATCGGAAAGGTTATAACCAAGTGTTGTTGAAGTAGAAGGCCTAATCTAGTGGACTGGCAAGAATATGGCACTAACTGCATCTCTACAAACATACGTATTGCGCTGGTCAGTTTGGTCGGCATGCGCACCTGTAATGCAGGTACCATGTACAATATCTGCCAAATAACATAGATCCGATAGTTTAAAACATGGTAGAGGGGTGGAGAATGGTATAATTTAAAGGAAATGGGAATACATATGGTATTTACTGTATTTGTACAGAGAGAATGATACGTCGGTCGGTAAGGTCAGTATGCACGCTTGTGTGTAGGTATAATGCGGAACTGGAATTCTGAAATCTCCCAAACTATGTGGATTGGAAAGGTTATAACCAAGCGTTGTTGAATTAGAAGGCCTAATCTAGTGGACTGGCAAGAATATGGCACTAACTGCATCTCTACAAACATACGTATTGGGCTGGCCAGTTTGGTCGGTATGTGCGTCTGTAGTGCAGGTACCATGTACGACTGGAATGTCTATATCTGCCAAATAACATCGATCCGAAAGGTTAAAATATAGTAGGGAGGTGGGGAATTATTTAATCTAAATGAAATGGGAATACAT